TATGTAAAAGAAATAAAATGTTTCAAACAATGTACAGTAGTATCTCAATTGCGAGAGGTGCCTTGTAAATTTCCAAGTTACCTACATGCAGTTAGAACCATATTTAAAGTTGAGGGTTCCCTATTATGCAATGGAGGCATAAAGACAAAAGAGCTTTTTTTTTTTTTTTTTAAAGGGAGTTGAAGGATACAGGAGGGCAGAGAGGCCAGGTTATCACCCATGATTTGTCTCAAAGTGAATTCTCTTTGAAGGGTGAAACAACTTGCGGTCTTTCTCCCTGGGCAAAAGTCACACCAAGTGGGTAATGTGTTTTCTTCTCTAGTATTACACAACCCTTAAAATACCCTCCATGTGACCCTCCCCCCATCCCCATGATGGTTAATGTTGGTTAATGTTATGTGTCAACTTGGCTAGGCCATGACTTTCAGTATTATGAATTGCCCTCTATTTTGTGTCCTGATGTAAGGAGAGTTTCCTTGGGGGTATGGCCTGCAATCAGCATATACGGATGTTCTGGCAAAGCTCTCTCTCTCTCAGTCTTGCATCTGACTCTTCATCATCTGACCTCCAGTTCTTGGGATGTGAGTCAGCAGCCTACCAACCTGACCTGCTGTTTTTGGATTTGTCAGCCCCTGTAACCATGTGAGTCAGGAGAAGCCTCCAGCCTGTCGCCTAACCCACAGATTTGGGACTTGCCAGCCTTCACAACTGCATGAGCCATTTCCTTGAAATAAATCTCTCTCTCTCTCTCTCTCTCTATATATATATATATATACACATACACATATATTCACTTCACTGGTTTTGCTACTCTAGAGAACCCAGCCTAGGACACTTTCCACCCACCCCCCACCTCCAGGCTGCATACCTTCAGTAAAGTCTGATATATACATAGACCTCATGTAGCAGTGTTGTGGGAAATAAAGCATGAGGACAGCTTTTATTAAAAAGCAGCATAGCCTACCTTATGTCAAGCCCTTGTCTGATGGTCAGGAAGAGGCAGCATTTCTCTGAAAGTACAACTGTAGGAATCTATCAGTTGCCAAGTGATGTCTGGCCTGAGGCGGAGTTAGGTGGGGGAAGGAAAATATGCTGAGGAGAAGGAGGGGTTTCTAAATGGTCATTCAGAAAGGACAGAAAACCAAAGCTTTCAATATTCCAATAAATACAAGAGAGAAGAATAATGCCTTAAAGAGGGTGAAGCTAAGCAGATATTTATATAATATCAAATAATTGTTTTCAAATACGGACTGAGAGCCAATGGTGGATTTTTTTAAATTCTGCATTTAATATGATTTTGATAGCATATTTCAATTTTCAGGATGAAATAATACAAACAAACAAGTTTCTGTGTTGTCCTGATGCTGTATATCTGACTACCCAATCTCATACACGGTATATTGATATTGATCTCAGGAAGGTCAATAGCAGCAGTCAATGGCTGCTTTCATTTGACTATTCCAGCAGTAAATATTTCTATTTGTATTCCAACTTACAAATTCCCGCAGGTGGTGCCTGGCAGTATTTAAGAAACCCTTATCCTAACAAATATTAGGATTTAATATGAATCTGGTTTGCTTTCCTAACTCTGGGATCAGGTATGAGAAAGTAGCCTTTCTCCTCACCATTAAGAAGTTGACTAAATCTTTATGATTTCTGCCTTGTTTCCCAGTATACATTGTATTTCTTTTCCTAGGAGAAGATCCTGGTGCTGAAGTTTAATCAACTTTGAACCACAGTGAATTCTTGGCAAGTACTCCTTCAACCCCACCTAACCCCCCAGGCTAGGGTCCCTAGAAATTTGTAACAAACTACCAAGAATTACTATACAGTTTTCTGTCATACTTCAAATATCATCACACTATATTGATTCCTTCAGTTTCACTGAATACACCCAAAAAAAAACCAAACCCACTGTCATCAAGTCAATTCTGACTCATAGCAACTCTGTAGGACAGAGTAGAACTCCATAGGGTTTCCAAGGCTATAAATCTTTTTGGAAGCAGACTGTCACATCTTTCTCCAAAGACAGCTGGTGGGTTTGAACCACCAACCTTTCAGTTAGCAGCAGATCAAATATCCTTGGACACAGATGCACCCCAGATTAAGGAGAAATTCACCATACCTTCTTGGATAGTGTGATTGTCCCTTCTGGCTTCAGAAACACTTTTAATGTCTAGTTACCCCACCAGACTTGGCCTCATCCCTGCCATTCCTGGATTTTTTCTTCCCCGTGTCCATTTTTCTCTGAAGTCTAATTCCGAGCCAAACTACTATGGCCTAAAACAACGGCTCCCATTAATTTATGGTTGTTTTCGGTGACCCATTTACTAACATAATAATACTAAAAAAATAATGTTGGAAAGAAATAATCTGAACAGAAAATCCAGTGATGAATATTTTGTTGAGCACCATATTGATCAAAGTATCGTTGATAATTTAGAAATGCACAAACCTTGTTAAAGGAGATTATCGAATAAATCATTAAATGAAAACAAAACAGAATTTACTTTGTATTTTCTCCTGAAAGGATTTCTCTCCTTGAAAAAACAAAAGCACAGTTTCCAAATAATGTTTATTTTGGGGAGACAGCAGAAGTTAGAAATGCAGGTATTTGAATCAATAAGACCTGGATTTGACCGCCAGTTTGAACATCTTAAAAAGGAACCTGGTGGTGCAGTGGTTAAGCGCTCAGCTGCAAACTGAAACATTGGTGGGTTAAACACACCAGCTGCTCTGTGGCAGTCTGCTTCCGTAAAGATTTACATCCTTGGAAACCCTACAGGGCAGTTCTGTTCTGTCCTATAAGGTCGCTGTGCATCAGAATCGACTTGATGGCAACAAGTTTGGTTTTCTTGGTCTTGGTCATTTAATAGTTGTGTGACCTTCAGCACGTTATTCAATCTATGTTATCCTCAATCTCCGCGTCTATAACAGGAAGAGGGCCATCTCTCTCAGATCAGTTGTGAGGAATAAGTAAATCAGAAAATGTACAGAAAGAATTTATTCCAACACTAACTCAGAGTAAGCGCATTGATGTGGTTATTTTGAAATAGTCAATCCTCGTTGCTGGTATTGTGGTTTGAAAGTCTTCAGCCACTCTAAATTTTACCTTGGGCTAGCTCTGATTTGGGTTTCTAAAATAAGCGTGTCTTTTGTTCTACCTTCTTTCTACAATTTTATTTATTACTTCTCCAAAAGAGTTTTCAAATACCCAGGAAGGTCAAATAAATCACCAAAGCCCACACCATCACCACCAACAATGCAAGCTAAACAAGAAACACTAAGTTGGAATTGAATCATGGTGTACTTAAGGTGACATTATCTATATGTCAATGATAAGTAACAGATTTTCCTTAGGAAGTTCAAAGTAGAGACTGTGAAACAGATATTCTTAACACAACTTAATAGGTACATTTTGCTTTACTAGGTCTATTGCATGTCTATAGAATTTAATAGTTCTCAATTTCTGGTAACAGTTTTTTTTTTAAACATCCTTTTGTCCAATAACATTCATGATTAACCAACTGCCATACATTAGAGAGAGAAATATTGCTTCCCTTCCATTAGAATAGGAGCCCTGGTAACACAGTGGTTAAAGCACCAGGCTGCTAACCGACAGGTCAGCTGTTCAAACCCACCAGCCACTCCATAGGAGAAAGATGTGGCAGTCTGCTTCCATAAACATTACAGTCTTGGAACCTTATGGGGCAGTTCTACTCTGTCCTATAGGGTTTCTATGAGTTAGAATTGACTTGATGGCAGTGAGTTTGGGTTTTGGTCCATTAGAATATTCCAACTCATTCATACTATAAAAAAAACTCAAAGCAAAGTAGAAGTAATTTTCATTTAGAAAAAAATTTTTTCTTTTCTTTGCTTGGTAGCCTTAAGGCAAGTTTCATATATATATATATATATATATACACACACACACACACATATATACACATATATGTATACATATGTGTCTCTGTACATACAGATATATATATACATACATATCTTCATGAAGTCAAATATCACAATCCAGTCTCATTTGTAAATGTCATAAAAGTATAGATAAACCATATTTTACTTATCACACCTGCAACACGCAGCCAGAATACAATACTGTAACTCTTTCTAGCTGTGAAGGTTCAAGCTCTCCCAAGTCCCTGCAGCAGGAGTCTACCCTTGTCTGCCTCCTCTCTCCGTGGTTTTTCTAATAACCTCCCATTTATTTCCAAAGGCATTTTTGTGCTATTTTAAAAAATCTGTACTCATAAATTCAACATACACTGTTAAAAAGTAGTCTAAAGTGACTATATAAACCACGAATTTTCACTCGCAAATTTAAACTATCTGCACGAATAGACTATATTTTATTGATTAAAACACCTACTTAAAAAAATGCATTTTTTCAATACCAATTGCCATCTTACTAAGTAGTTGAAGCCTCCCTCTAAAAGCAACAATAACAACCACCACCACAAAACTGTTTCATACACAATGTGAAAGACTGTCTATTTCCAAAGAAATATAGTAAAGGCAAGCAACAAGGAACTCTAATGCCAGTGTTTTCTAATTATAGCAAATTTTCTGGTGACGCATGATCACAAGCCTAATATTGTCAAATATATACAATAAACAAGAAAAAGCTGTAAGAAGTGATTTATTTTAATGTACTTTCCGATAAAACTCTTATTTAATGTTTCTTCCTGGTTTACAAATTACAGTATTTTTACGCAAACAATGTGCACCTTCTATTTTTGTTTGCCAGTCGTGCCCGCCCCCCGTGAGATATTTTCATAAGTGCTGCTATGCCAGTTTTTTTTTACATGTTTCTGTAAAAAATCAGCACAACACGCTTATGAAAATACCTCAGTGGGGGAGGGCACAGTTGACAAACAAATGTAGAAGGCATGCGTTATTTGCGTAAAAATATGGTAGTGCATTCTTTTATTTCACATCTGCAGGTACACAGATAACAAGTTGATGAAGTAAAATCGAGAATATATTTTTTAGAAAAGCTTACCACTGTCATTTTTCAGCATCCCATTGCTGAGTTGTTTTAATCTCTTTTGATGGGATTTGCCATTGTAGTGGATTTGTGCTTGAGCAGCGGAATTCAGCTGAATGTTACACACGTTGCACAGAGTGAAGTTGGTATGTTTCTTCTCTCTTTCTGGTTTTTCTTCAAAGTCATCAGGCATTAATTCAGGCTCACTCTCCCCATCTTGTGCAGATGTGAAATCTGAGAGTACAAAGAAAGTCATCAACAGGCAGATCAAGATTTCTGGATTGCTTCATATTTATTAAACTGGGTAGCAAATGATTGTTCTAGATACTTAGAATTAAAGATTTCCACTTCCACCTGTTTAAATAGGTTGCTTTCATACTATCTAGAAGTTGATAACCTCTTTAATGAAACACAAGTATAAAACATTTAAGGTGTTTATTCTATGCCAAATACTGTGCCGAGAGCACAGCAAGTGTTTGGAACACGTTTTCTTCACTTAATCATCGTGGTAATGGAATAGGCATTACAGTTTTCCCAGTTTCACAGCTGAGGAAACTAAGGTTTAGAGTATTAAATAATATGCCTAAGATCACACAGCTACATTTGGGATAAGTATCCAGTTTTATTTATCTCAAAATTCAAGTTCTTATGTGTTAATGTATTAGACACTTTCCTTTTGATTTAACTAAAGAAAATCTCCTTGTTTTTATATTCTTTACCACTTAGGTAAATTTTTAAGTAAACTTACATCTGGATGGACACATCCTACACATATAAAAATACTATAACTGTTTCAACACCTAAAAGTTGATATTATAAACCACAGAAGAGTCCCTGAAAACCAAAGAATGCCTCATATTCAGCTGGTGAAAGAGCGGTGGGGGGGAACTGTTGATGTTGAGTCTAGCAGCCCTGTAGGACAGAGTAGAACTGCACCATGGGGTTTCCAAGGAGCAGCTGGTCAATGCAAACTCCCAGCCTTTTGGTTGTCAGCAGCCAACCTCTTAACTACTGTGCCACTAGGGCTCCGGCAAAAGAGCGTCACTTATCTTCTGGAAAGTCTTTTCGTTTTTGGAGAAATATAAGCCTTGAATACTCAAACCAAATAGAAAAGGGGAGCTGACAATTCCAGCATCTCTGGCCTTAAGACAGCAATAAATAAAATAACTATTGTAATACAGACTTTGCTATTCATTTACAAATCACTGGAAATAATAACAACTCCTTTCTAAAAATTTTCTGTGCTTCCACCATGCTAGCCTTGCATATCTCTTACGGTGCAGATATGATTTATCCTTTTCAATTCTCCAAACTCTTCAATGAGTTATTTTATAGTCTTTGGAAATATTGGCAGAAGAAAGCACAGTCATAATTTTTACATGCATTTATTAATTGCCTACTATGTAACAGGCATGTGACTAGGTGCCAGAGATAATGATGATCAAGAGAAGCATGGCCCTTGCCATTACGGAAACTGGTAACGATCGAAAGAACGTGGACTTTGGCATCAGCCAAATGAGATAATAAATGCCAGAATAATTTTAATGATATTAAGGATTAGTTTGTTAATAAAATTTCAAAGAAAAACAAACTAGCAAACCACGCAAAATACCTAAGACATTATTCAATTTCCAAAAGGAGTAAATGATTTTTAGGTATATAATTCATGCTTCCTTTTGTGGACTAATTCATTTAAAATATTTTAATTTCCTATTAAGTAAGAAGGAGGTTTTTTATTCAAGTAAACCTTGTTAAAATAATACTAAATAGACAATGTGGTCATATTTAAAAGAAAATTCATAGGTGTTGTAAAATCATTACATATTTTTGGTTAAAGGAAAATATATAACGGCATTAACTTTTCCTATTTTATATAAATAAAACCACTTGAGTAGCTACTCCAAGTTGTATCTGGCATTTTTCAAAACTATTTTTCTTTTAAGAGTTGATTTACTCTTTTAAAGTCTTGTTTTATCTCAATTTAAGTAGTGGAAAAGATTACATAAATTGCGATATAGTTAATCATTGTTCTATTTTTATACCCATTATAAACACATTTGGGAAAATTTTATAACATGGAAAATTTTTGTATATAATAAGCAAAAAAAACACACAAGATATTAGTTTGCATAAAATATGTTTACAACTATGTAAAACACAAGCTCTACAATGTAACAATATTAGCAGTAGCTGATTCTGCATGGTGAGATCAGAAGAGGCTCTTTTCCCTTCAAATTTTCTATATTTCAAAAAATCTACATGATCACCATTTATTACCTGTACTATGAAAAATAAATCAATGGATTTCAAAGAATAAGAAAAAAATGAGCTTCTATTCCACAGAATAAACAGTTTAGGTGTGTCAGAACTAGGCCATATATGTAGATATTCCCAGTAAGCGAACCCTCATGACACAGTATTTTTGCTAAATATTATGTGTATGGAGCCCTGGTGGTGCAGTAGTTAAGAGCTCAGCTGCTAACCATTAAAGACTGGCAGTTCGAATCCAGCAGACATTCCTTGGAAACCCCATGGGGCAGTTCTACTCTGTCATATAGGGTCGCTCTGCGTCGGAATTGACTCCACAGCAACGGGTTTGGTTTTTTATTATGTGTGTTTGAAAGGAAACATTTTCTTCCTTGATCCACGTTTCCTCTTGACCCATAAAATAAAAACTTTTGCCAACAATTTTGCAGAGGAAAATATGAGAGAGGAAATTTTCTTCTAAGGCTATAAGATTTACTTGCTTACACAAGAGGGGCTCGCTGCTCACAAGACAAAATGAAGGCTATGTGTGGTGAGAGGGTTAATGACTGATTCTGCACTACATTGCAAGGAAGAGAAGTCTCAAAGGAAATAGAAAGTAAGATACGTTAATTATGGGGTATGGAAGCTAGGGGCAAAAGGGAACCTCGAATAAATTGTGTGACTGGGACCTGACACCATAAAACATTTATATACTTTTCAAGAAAATGGCAATGTCTCAAATGCCACTCCCTGAAGAAAAGAGGCAATATGCATAAGTGATTTTTTTCTCCGAATATGGGTCAGTGTCATGTTTAAATTCTGCAAGGGAAATTTTGATCAGTTGAGTTCTATTGAGAAAAATTCAGAAGTTATAAGCTTTAGGCAACTGGCTTGAAAGCAAAAATATTTTTATCAATTTGTCTATATTTTCTCCATTTAATTTCCATCCCCCAGATAAGACTAAGACACTAGAAAGGTCTGCAGCTGAGCATAGTAATGTGGATCTACACTGCAATATGTAATAAATTAAAGGACTAGAATCCTGGGGATGATTACTGGAAGTGAAACATCCAGAAAGGAATCCACGAGAACGTTAAGACATTGTGAAAAACGTAATCAATGTCTCTGAATAATATGTGTAGTAACTGTTAAATGGGAACCTAACTTTCTGTGTAAACTTTCACTGAAAATACAATAAAATATTATTTAAAAAGAAGAAGAAGAAGAATACATTGGGAGCTTTCCTGTATTTGTAAAACAAAGTACACTTGATAACCAGAAAAAATCTCTTGACTTCATGTACTTAAATGGGAGAAATTTTACAGTGTGCTGGGAACCTTTGAGTTCTTGTTACACATGATGTACATTAAAAACCTGGATAACTAAAAAAAAAAAAACAGGTATTTGTGTGTGTGTGTTTTGTTAAAGTATACCTTGATTTAATCCTACACTCATTGAAATAATTAAAAAGTGGCACATATATCATAACTCACCTTTGGTAAGTTATATTAAGCAATGTATTTGAACAAAATTTGAGGAAAAAAAAACTGGAAACAATTTTCCTCCAGGGATACAACATGGTTTTTGTAGTTAATTTGATTAGTGCACTGTTAGGAATCACTTGAGAGCCTTCTGAGGCAAAATCAGAAATGTCACCACTTGTACCAAAGCATCAGCTGTTGATACCAAGATTGCCCTGAAAAGTGCTGATTTTCTCTCCCCTCATCCTACCATCAGGGGAGCAGGCCATGGCCCTCGTCGGCCCTAAGCTTGGCGTAACCCAACTGATTAAGAATCAAAAGTTGAGGAATAGACACAAGAGTCGGTTGAAACATCTCCCAAGGACCAAAGCTGAAGCAATTTGAATAACAACCTAAGTAATATATTATTAGATTATAACCCAAAATATAAAATAAATTATCAACATACTGTTAGAAAATAAATGAGGAAGAAGATACAAAGCTTCCAGATAGAAGATTTCCAGATCAGTTAAGTAGATACTGCCCCATCAATGAGGTAGAGCATAACTCTCTACCCTTTAAGATTTGGCTATGCTTAGTGATTTGGTTTCAAAGAGTACAGTATGGATAGAGAAGAAAAAGTAACTCTACAGTGGAGAAATAGGACAAACACTATCTCAGCCATGGAAGCAGCAGTCAAGAAATCAAAAGACACATTGCTTTGGGCAAATCTGCTGCAAAAGACCTCTTTAAAGTGTTGAAAAGCGAAGATGTTACTTTACGGACTAAGGTGTGCCTGACCCAAGCCATTGTGTTTTCAATCATCTCTATGCATGTGAAAGCTGGACAATGAATAAAGAAGACTGAAGAAGAAATGACGCCTTTGAATTGTGGTGTTGGAGAAGAATAGTGAATATACCACGGGCTGCCAAAAGAACGAACGAATCTGTCTTGGAGGAAACTACAATCAGAATGCTCCTTAGAAGCAAGGATGACGAGACTATGTCTCATATACTTTGGACATGTTGTCAGGAGGGATTAGTCCTTGGAGAAGGACATCATGCTTGGTAAAGTACAGGGTCAGTGAAAAAGAGGAAGACCTTCAGTGAGATGGATTGACACAGGGGCTGCAATAATGGGCTCAAGCATAACAATTGTGAGGACGGTGCAGGACCAGGCAGTGTTTCATTCTGTTGTGCAGAGTCACTATGAGTCAGAACCAACTCGGTGGCACCTAACAACAGCAACAATCTCAGCTAGGTAATCAAGGATAACATCAACAGGGATGTCAAATTGCTAGAATGCATCTTTGATATGATGCGTTGAGAATGGTTCTTCACCTCTGTGTTCTTCCTCACAAAAACATATAACCCCAGTAAAGCCATAAGAAAAACATTAGACACATCCAAACTGAGGGGCATTCTCCAAAAAAAAAGTTACTGTCAAGTCGATCCAAACTCATGGTGATCCCATGTGTTTCAGAGTAGAATTGTGTTTAATAAGGTTTTCAAAGGCTGTAATCTTTCA